GCTGTTTATATTTGATCAAAAATACAGAAAAAACAGTAATATTGTGAAATATTATTGCAATTTCTAATATTGGTTTCCTATTTTAATATACTTTAAAATACAATTTATTTCTGTGACGCAGTGCTGAATTTTCATCAGCCATTACTCTAGTCTTCAGTGTCACATGATCTTTCAGAAATTATTTTAATATGCTGATTTATTCTCAGTGTTGAAACTGTTGTGCTGCTTAATATTTTTTTGGAACCTGTGATACTTTTTTCTTTGATTCTTTGATGAATAAAAAGTTAAAAAGAACAGCATTTATTCAAAACAGAAATCAGAAGTCTTTACTATCACTTTTAATCCATTTAACACATCCTTGCTGAATGAAAAAAATTATTAATTTCTTTAAAAAAAAAAAAGAAAGAAAAAATTTACTGACCCCAAACACAAAATTTCTATTTTGAATAAACACTGTTCTTTTTAACTCTTTATTTATCAAAGAATTCTGAAAAAAGTATCACAGGTCCCCAAAAAATATATTAAGCAGCATAAGCTTAAACATAACAGTTTCCAGCACTGATAATAAATCAGCATATTAGAATAATTTCTGAAGGATCATGTGACACTGAAGACTGGAGTAATGATGCTGAAAATTCAGCTTTGCATCACAGGAATAAATTATATTTTAAAATATATTAAAATAGAAACTGTTATTTTAAATTGCAATAATATTTCCCAAAATAACAGGGTTTTTTCTGGATTTTTGGTCAAATAAATACAGCCTTGATGAGCACAAGAAACTTCGCAAAAAAATATGAAAAATCTTACTGATCCCAAACTTTTAAACGGTAGTGTATATTTATATATATTGCTCCTCAAGGGTTCTTAGATGAGGGCTGGTGTGTGGATAAGGGTGATTAAAGAATGGAGAAGTGCTAATAGGGCAGCTGTTAGATGTGTAAACTGTTGGTCGGCAGCCAGCAGCATAGTTTCTAATCAGATGGGTATCTAAACTGAGTTTCATGCTGCTCTGTGACCTCTTCTCTTCACAGAGTCCAATCAGCTGCTAATGGTCTGATAGTTGAGTATATCTGTGGCACAAGTTCATGAGTAGCTCGAACTTATTTCAGAGGAAGGATTTATTGCTCTATTACAGTTAGGAGACTTAAGTCTCAGTTATGCTTCATTTATAAGTGACACCTTTGTCTCGGATGTTTCTCCTGAATCCCATACAAAAAGAATAACAAATGAGATAACTATGAGATTGAATGAGATTATTAGTTTCTGCTTGTTTGTTTGTGTGATGACTGAATGCGCTTTGTACGTCCCTTAACTGGTCGTGATTCAGATCTGCAGATCTATGCCGTTAGTCCTGTCCCTGAAAACCAGGACGTCCTGCAGAGAGACGGAGTCCCCAACAACATCAAGAGCTTCTACAAAGTCAACCATATTTGGAGGTTTCGCTACGACAGGCCTTTTCACAAGGGCACCAAAGACAAAGAGAACGAGTTTAAGGTGCTGTAGACTTTATCTATCTATCTATTTATCTATCTATCTATCCTATCTTTCTTCTGTTTGTCTATCTATCTATCTATCTGTCTATCTGTCTGTCTGTCTGTCTGTCTATGTATCTTCTGTTTATCTGTCTGTCTGTCTATCATCTTCTAT